GCTGGCTGGGGAATTCTGGGAATTGAAGTCCACACATCTTCAAGTCACCAAGGTTGAGGAATCCTGATCTAGATATTGCTAAACCACTATTGTAATCAGCATCCCTCACCACTAAGGCTGTTTGAGAAACAGAGTTAACCCACAAGTTCCCAAATTTCTCAGTTCATGGTGCTCTTAGTGTCTCAGTAATTTTTTCATGGCATCCCACAGTTCCCAGACTGCATTGCAGTGGCAGTGGTCCACAGCAAACTCACAGGTGTGCTATGGGATATTTTAAATTTTAGAGGGAAACACAGTGATGCTCAACATATGCTGACATTTTGTTGATCCTTTCATGTTGTTTTTCTTTATTGTTGCTTTGTCTAGCACCATAATATAAAATACAAATACAACAGGCTAAGTGGCTGTGTTAAGACTCACAGTCATGATAGTGGTGACTGATGTCAAATAGATTGTGTTATTTTATAAATGTGATTGCTATTTGTTATTTATTTTTTTCCATTAGTTATAGATTAAAATTAGATGATTGCAGGTATAAATTATACTAGTCCTGAATGTATTAGAATATATAGTGATCAGAATCTAAAGATAAATGTTGATCTAGAAAGGAAATTAACCTAGTAGTAATTTTGTTTTCCAAAGGGTACAAAAAATTGTTGAATCTGTAGGGAATCGCCTCAAGTATAATAAACTTTACAGAGTAGGCTATGTTGCCTCTCCATCTGAGAGGTATAAAGAGTCAGCTACAATCCAGTGTATTATTATTACTGTACACTTTTTGTGAGATGGGCAGTATCTAAATTTGAAATACAAACAAATAAATAAATAAATCTTTTAGCTGCCCACATGCAGAATAATGAATGAAAAACCTGTGAGACCCAGTGGCAAGGGAGCAAATTACTTAGAATTGCTGAGAAATTATTGGAGCTCACCCATATTTATATTTAGGGCTTTCTGGTGTGTGTGGGTGTGTTTGTGTGTGGTGTAGTATAAGTAATTCTTTTTCATGGGTGACATTGTTATTCCACCTATCGCTGCTTCAAATGTCTTTTAATCCAGTTGTCCTCATTTTTCTCATTCCATATTTTGTAGGCTTGTTTCATATAGTCTGTTTGTATGTGTGTTAAATGCAGATATGTGGTTATGTACTTTGGATGGATGATAGTAATTAAATAAAAGTACAGAGAGAAAAAGATGGTTACCATATGAACAGATAGTTAATACAACTTAAACAGTGATATTAAACTAAGTCGCTTAGGTTCTTAGGGTACCCTTTAAAAAAAAAAAACACTTATCATTTAATATCATTTCCATTTCAAAGTATCCTCTTTTCTCCCCAATTTCAGTGAGGAGTTGAGTTTCTGCCGAGCATGTTTAGGGCACATCTGTCTGCAAGGGAATAATTTCTTGCCTCAAGCAGGAACAGCTTTTGCCAAATTCTCAGAAAAAGCTTTCTTTGGAAACAGTTGAAACTGTCCCTAGAGTTCAGGTTTTCTTTTATTGTGCCTGACCTTCTGGGATCTTCTTAGATGCAACTTAACCATAATTGTTGAAAAAGAACTGTATGGCAATCAACGTACTGTAAGTGCCCTTGTCTTCCCAGCTCTACCCCACGTGATCCCTAAATAGAAGATAAAAGAGAGGTAAGCATTTTTTTCAAAAAATTCAGAATTACTTTTCTGGAAGTAAAAAACATCCACAGAAAATAACTGAAAAAGTCCTGTCACTGTTCTCTAAAATGTGGGCAAAGTTAATGTATACCAGGAGAGCAATTTGCAGTAATGCAAAGTGGATGATATTGTATCACCACCTATTGGCAATTCTTTAGTACTGCTTTCGGGGAAGCAGCAGTAAATGCTGAGAAATTCAAAAGGGTAATAATCTTTCAAGATATTGAATTATCTGCAGAATATTTTTTGTTGCAGCATTTTAAAATAACAATGCTGAATTGATGAAAGCTTTAAAAAGTTCAGCTACACACTGTTACCAGTCTAGGGAGAAAACATGTGATATTTTATGGTTAGAAACTACAGAAATTGATTCCCAAATCCTCAAGCGATGGTTATAGTAGGACCTCATGGTAACATGAAAACAAAATTATGGCCTTAATGTATAGCTTAGTAAGATCCTTAAACAAAAAGGAAAGGAAATGTTATCTAACTTCTTTCAAGTATATTCAAGTATATTCTTTGGAATATTCAGTAGGTATTAGAAAAAGTTATCATAAAAACATGCAGACTTGAATGTTAGCAATACCATTACCAAAACATGTAAGTGCTAAATTGATGGCTGGATAAAAGCTACAGTAGGAGCCTACTGACTGCCCAGTTAATTTATTGTTAGTGGGGGTAATCTGAATATAAACTGAATAATTAATGGATCACTCTTTCACAGAGCACTTCCAATATCAATACCATTTTCACTCCCTAAACCTGCAGAAGTAGTGTGGAGGTGAACTTTGATTGTGAAGCCTCTCTAATTAGACATGTTAGGACAGCTAATCCAAACCAAGAACTGTTAGCATTGTTATGGTCAGTTGCAGGATGCAGGAAATAAAAGATAGCTTGTCCTTGCTGTTAGCCATCCTGAAATCCAGAGTTAGCTTTTAACCATACACGTAAAACATCAGTTAATGGAAGAGGGATAAAATAGAGTTTGGAAGGAATGGAAGTGAAAACAAAACTACTTTGAGGAGGAGACATAGAATAGCCAAAACTACGAAACCTTCCAGAGGGGAAAGTGTAATGTTCCTCTGAGTTCTGTGACATCAGAAACCAAGTGTTTTTGGGATTGGATCTATTGCTTATTACACCCTTTATTCCATTGCATGAAGACACACAAACAAGACCTTGTTTCACTGATAATTCCAAATTCAGCATTTGCAACAATGTGACAATAAAAGAGCTTTTGGAACTTTATATTTGCACACATGTTGCAGTATCAGAAGGAAATGCAATGTCAGGAGAGGGGGGGAGTACACATAAACTCTGTGTTCTCTGTTACATGAGAGATACTGCTACACTTTCACGACTGTTGCAAGGAAGCGTTGGGGCAAAAAGATATTACAGGCAATCCAAAATGTACTTTTCAAAATTCCCTCTTGCTGGTTTCTTTCATCTCACGTCTAAGTAATTACTTATCCTGTGTGCCTCAGCTTGAGCAGGATAAATTAAGCTACTCCACCACAGTGGAATTTCTTCTCTTATCTTCACTGACTTGTGAATTCCCAGTGGTATGACAAGTGTCAGCATATATGGTCCACTCAAAGCCAATGTAGAAGAATAATGGTTCTTAGCATGCCTCTCTGAGGATAGGAACTTATGACCTCAGTGCTACTGAGACTGACAGATCAAACCATTTGTGCTCATGGCGTATACCATGTGGTGTGTGTGCTGTCATGTTCAATTGTGATGAATAGTTATAGAATCGATACAACTGTGACAATGCTATTTTTCTAGTGAATCATGTAGATAGTGGTTTATGCTGACTTCTTGATCTTTCTTTTCCTCCAGATAAGAGACAAGGGGTAAGGGGAAGAGATCTGAAGAAAGCAGTGCAGGAAACAGACAGCTGTGCCACAAAAATAATACCCTATAATATAACAGCTAATGATTTAAAATAGGCCAGCAGGTCAGAAATTCCCTGTTCCAGAAGAAAGGTTAATTCTAAGTGTTTTATATAATTTTATGTAATCACTTCACATATGTTATCTCAACTTTCTTTCAACAAGTCATAAAAACCAGAGAGTGCTGCCAGATGAGACCCAAAACCTATGCAGTCCATGTCCACCAGTGGCCAGATGTTCTGTCTGTTTTGTTTTTACTCATATGAACATTATCTCTGATCCCCGAAGGTAGTATACAGACTTCCTAACAATCATTGCTAGCTATACACTAAATGGATAATCACACCCTAAAGTGGCCTAAGAAATTCGTCTTCATTATATTTTGCTGGTAAAGTTTTCCTTAATTTAAGTACCTGCTATGAATAGACATATTCATCCACTCAGAGTTGTTGAGAGTCGGGTGGCATACAAGTTTAATACATTATTGTTATATTTATTTATGGGGAGGAGAGTTGAGGTGAAAGAGAGTATCTTGCCTAGGCATGCTTAGTAATTTTGTAGTAAAGGCAAGGTTTGCATCATGCTTTCCCAGACAGTCACCATGGTCTAGATCTAGCTGTAGACTCAGGTATCTAATGTTGAATTTATAACATAGAAAGGCAGGGTGGGGGAAGGAGCACCAGTAATGACCAAGTATCACATTGTCATCATGCATCTTATATCACTGATCAGTCCATATATTTTGCAAAGAACTGTTACTTCTACTGTCAATTGTCATTGGCTGCTGTCAAATGTTCTTCTGAGAACTGAAGTCTTAAACTCAATGCGTCAACAATATTTGGGCAGAAGGACAAGTTATTGTAGCATGAGGTTTTATTTATTCATTTTTTAAAGGCCAAATGCACATACAATTTAAAAAAAAACCCTCAGCAAGTGGTTTCATTTCCTGTAAGCATGTTTCTTCTCAAACCTGTGAAAAAGAAAGTACAAAAAGCATACTCACTGTTGAAGAGATGAGTCTGTCAGTTGTTGAATACTGAGACAGACTGTTATTAACAGTATTTTTTATATACAATAGGAAGATGGGATTTCAGGTATCTTATTTACTCATCCTAGCATGTGTCCTCAGAGGTAAGTTAGTTTTCTTTCCATAAAATGATGATGTCTAGGTTTATGAACTTGTTTTATCATTCAGAGTTTCTTGTTAGAGCACAAAGTAGTGTGCATGGTGACTGTCTCCTTTAAGTTTTAAATATAAAATTCTATTTCTTGGGTGGCTCAAAGTGCTGGATCTTTGTTCTTGTAAGATCTTTGTTCTTATAAGAATTATATCAGTTTAGTTCCATTATGAGTTTTCTAAAAACTGACGGATTAAAGGTTTGTTGGTACTGCGGGATTACATTATAAATGTTCTTAATTAAAAATAAAATGGAAGCATTATTGGCTCATTATTAGAAGCAAATAACTGAAAAAGCTAAGCAAGGTTAGACCTGATGAATACCTGGATGGGATACAATAAGGCACTCCCGTCTATCAGCTTATCTAGGAAATTCAAAGAAAAAAGAAAAAAGAAAAGAAAACATTCTGTATGAAGCAAAGACAAAACCACTTCTGTATTGTCAAGGAACTACATGGGCAAGTTCAGGAAGTCATCAGGAACAAAGCTTGACCCCAGGGAGTATTTACTGAATTATTTGTTGATTATTTTTGGCACCCCTGCCTATGTAGCTTTTGTTCTAAATGCTACAGAAAATGTCTTACAAATGAGAATATGAACTGTCCATCCGAGTTAACTGCATTATTATAGTGAATTTCACACAATGTCTCCCCCAGACAATGCACTTTAGCAGAGCACGAGCAGGAGACCATCCTGGTGGGACGTGACCTATGTCAATGCAAGAAAAATGTTTTTGATGTTAAGTCTGATTTCTCCTCCTCCTCATGCATGAGCAGCCAAACAGGGAGTGTAACCAGCTGAGTCTCCACATAGGATTATTAGCCTAAATACAGACCAAACAGACTTCTGCCAGCCAGTCTTAACAGCTTTGCCTGATAATAAAAAGATGAAACTTGAAAGATGAAAATGCTCAGAGTTGCAACACATTTTGAGATAAAATAAAATAAAACTATTAATAAAAGTTCAGTATTAAAATATTTATTCTTAATGCCCTGTTGTGTTGTTTGCTTTGATCCTCCATATGCACCAAAAATACTTCAGGAAGAATTGCCTGTGCCTAGTTCTGACAAAAGTAGAGCAGCTTCCAGAAACCAAGATGCTGAACAAAATACACCATCCTTTGAGTTTCCAGCCTTTTTTATACTGTTTTTCTAAATATTTTTTTTAGAAATATATGCCTGCTTGTTTAAATTTTCCATCAAGGTTCAGTACCACAACTTGTAGAGCCCAGAATAAAACAAAAAGGGTACAAATCCTGTATCAAGGGTACAAATCCTGTGATTCCAGGGCTGCATGTATTCCTTTTCAAAATCTTGGTTGTGCCTCCAAAGGACCTGCATAGTTTGCCACCAGATTTAAATTTTAATGTGACAGAAAGGGGAAAAAATATTTCAGTGAATTGCATTTAAATAATTTAATTTTCATTTAGTTTTTTCCCTGCTTCTACCCTTTTTGGCAATGCAATCTCTAGCACTGTGGGGTAATGGTTAAGCTGCTGGATTAGCAGTAAGGTGACCCAGGTTCTAGTCATACTTTCACATGATAACTGGGTGACTTTGGGCCTTTGAGATTTGCAGAAGTTATTTTCTCTGTTCAGAGCCAAAATCATCAATATACTTTAAATGTTTATAACTGTTTTAAATTATAAATAATAAATAAAAGGGGATGGAGCAGTTTTGCTTGTTTTGTTTTTTCAATGAGAGCATTGAGCTGGGGAAGGCTAATATAGTTCAATGACTATTATACCTGACCATGATAATATACCCACTCTATTGATTTGTAGGAGGTTCTGCAGTTAAAATTATGAATGAAGAAACTATCTGTGCCTCAGCTGGTAGTAATGTGACTCTAAAATGCAGCATCTTGCAAGAAAAGGAAACATATGTAACACAGATTCAGTGGTCTAAATTTACTGATGGACTATCAAGAATAATAGCTGTATATAACCCTAGTTACGGCACAAAATACTCTGAAGTAGCTTACAATAATTCAGCAACTTTTGAGAAAGGTTTCCATGATTGTTGGACCGACTTCAGCAGGGCTTCCAAAGAAGTTAAATCAATAGCAAACAACCTAGAATGCAATCAGTGGATTCTACAACTGAAGAATGTTACACTTGAACTCTCTGGCTCCTACGAATGTACCTTTACCACATTTCCAGTCGGAACAAGCAGCTCAAAAATACATCTTGTTGTTAAGAAAAGAGGTAAGTAATATATTTTTTTAATGAGAAAACAAAAAAGAAGTGTAGCATAACTCTAAATTGAGAGGGATAAACTGCATGTGGCCCTCAGAACTGCCATAATTCAAGTCAATTATCATTTTATTGTCAATATTTTTATTCTTTATATTGTTATTGCTACTGTTTTTCATTTTCCTTAAACAATAGAACCTTTTGGAAGGATTCTTGCAGTTTTTATAAGTGCTCCTTTATTTTATATTTATTCTACCCACTTGATGTCATGAGCATACTCTCAATAAATGCCAACCCTTGGATACTAAAAATTGTCCAGCCCAGCTCTTTTTAGACAGATTATGTCTTTTATGGTTCTGTTGGTTGTGTGTGTTCCTGTTCCAGATGTTTTGTTGCAAATGATATCAGCTTATAACTAACAAGGATTCAAAATGAT